AGAAACATCCCACTTAGGGCTCGGCCTAAGACTCCGGAGAGACTCGGGCGCGTGATAAGGCGATATGCATAGCGCACTCTTGGGTCGACCCGGTTGAGTAATCGTGGAAGCTTTCATGCGAAGCGGTGGATCTCTTGCTGCCGAAGTACCGGGTCGACCCGCCCGCTTTCGAGCTATGGTCGCCGGTCATGAGCCTTTCGAGCCCGAAATCTCCTATTTTGGGCTCCATATCCAGGCCAAGTAGAATGTTGGTGGGCTTTAAGTTTCCATGCACGTGCTTCTTTTCATGGATGTAACACAGCCCACGTGCCACGCCTTTTGCTATCTTGAGCCGCATTTCCCATGTTAAATGACAAGGTGATGAAGTGCCACCAGCTTTCCCTGCAAATTTCACACCCATAGTGCGCATGTTAGTATGTCTAATGCAATCTTAGATCAAATTTTTTTTTTTCTTAACACACTTTCCCTAAATAAAAATATATTTGTTAAACTTTTCAATAATGATTCTAAATTATATACTAAAAATATACATTTATTGAAAAAACATATTATTTTATTTTTCAAATTCCTTTTCTAAAATACGTTTTCTCTAACAACTTCAAATTAATTATATGATACTGTTACAATATTTTCGGTACCCAAAATATAAACAAATATTATATATATATCATGAAATTAAATGTCCCTATCCATGCAGAAGACTCATACAAGATGACATTTGACTTATATGATAATACACACATGCTATTTATTCTCAGTGGTTTGAAGTTAAAGAAATAAATCCATGGGCTACAAGACAAGGTTGACTTGTATGCATTATCAAACCCTACAAATATAGACTAACAGATAAATAATACTCCCTCCGTTCCCTATTAAATATCGTTGTTGGCTTTGCACAAGGATTAAGAAGTTGAATAAATGTATCTTGATTTTAGGTAAAATATATTATAAAGACTAAAATAACCTTCATTATTTAATGATGTGATAAGAGAGAGTTAATACTTCTAGTTGAATTACTAAGGTTAAAACAGGAAAAAATGCATTTAATACAGTATTGGAAATCTAAAGTGACAGATAATATGGAATGAAAATATTTTTAAAAAGAGACAATTATTGTGGAACATGGAGTAATAAACAACAAAATAGAAACATCATAACTCAAATTAATTAATTATATTATAAATCATGTGTTAAAATTAAATTAAGGAAACTTACTGTTACGGCAATTGGCAAGGCTGCCATTGGGAACAAAATCATAGATAATTAATTTCTCTTCATTCCCCCAGTAGAAGCCACGTATCCGGATCAAATTCGGGTGGACCAATTTGGCGATGACCCGGACCCGGTTCTGGAAATCCCTGAACCGGTCCGCCCCATTTTCGCCGATCCGCCGAACCGCTAGGGCGGTTCCGTCTTCAAGAACCGTTTTGTACATTATGCTTGAACCGGACGCCCCTAAAATGTAGGCCGACGCTTTGAGCAGAGTTTCTAATTCGAGTTCTTTTTCTCCGTCCATGGTTACGAGGGCCCCACTTTTCTGCTCTTGGGGTTTGTGCTTTTCGTCGGAGTTCGTGGATTCCGAGGTTGTTGACTCTTCGTCGTCTGCCACGTGTCTTTGTCTCTTCAGACAGGTCCAGTAAACGTACACGAAGACCAAAGACAGGATTCCGAGTCCGGCGATGTCTCCGGCGACGATTCCCAGGATTGCTCCGGTTCTCAGCCCGGTTGATCTCTTTCCTTGAGGGGGTGGCGTTGTTGTTGGTATGACGGCTATCGCCGGAGGAGAGTTTGTTGCGGTGGCGTTAGGCGGAGTTGCGACGGAGGAATGAACCGGACACGGGTTTGTCAGCGGTTCGCCGCATAATTCCGGGTTGCCGGAGTACGACGTCGTTTGTTGGTTGGCGAAGAGATCGGTCGCCGGAATTTGGCCTGTGAGATTGTTGAACGAGAGATCTACGGTGGCGTTCGTGGTGATTTTACTTGCGAACTCCGGCGGGATTTCTCCGGCGAGTCTGTTGA